ATTCCAGCTATGAGTCTAGCGGTTACACATCCACGCCGTCGTACTTCCAGCCGGCGCAGTTGGCGCCCCCGCAGGCGCAGCCTCCACCGCCCCTCCAGCAGCCACAACAACCTCCGCCACCGCAGCAGACACAACAACCTCCCAAACAGCTCGCCAACTCCTGGAGCAACACGGGCAGCGGCGCACTCACCAGCCCCACCGTCAACACGTACAAGAAACCGGTTTTCCATCAGAACAAGATCCAGAAACCCAAAGGCCCACCTAAACAGCCACAGCTGCACTATTGCGATATCTGCAAGATTAGCTGTGCTGGTCCGCAGGTGAGCAATTGCATTAAATCCACATTCAACTTCACCCAGAAATGAAATTTCCCTTATTTACTCAACCTCAGGCCATCCAAGATGTATCGTCTGTCATTCTTCAGCCGAAGAGAACTTAAAGGGATAGTTCACCCAAAAATTCTGTCATTAATTACTCACCCTCATGTCATTCCAATCCTGGAAGACCTTCTTCGTTCATCTTCGGAACACAAATTAAGATATTTTTGATGGAATCTGAGAGCTGTCTGACCCTCCCATAGACAGCAAGGTAACTACCACGATCAAGGTCCAGAAACGTAGCAAGGAATCGGTAAAACAGTCCATGTGACATCAGGTGTTCAACCGTAATTTTACGACGCTACGAGAATAGTTTTTGTGCGCAAAGAAAACAAAAAGAACTACTTTATTCCACAATTCTTCTCCTCCTCATCCTGTATGCTGTGGCGCGCCGCCGTTATGAAGAGAGTATCATGACGCATGCGCTTGCTTCCGCTTCATGTAAACAATGCATGCGCATGGCGCTGTTGCTTATGTTAACACGCACATGCATCAGCACGCTCATGCATCATTTACATGAAGCGGAAGCAAGCGCATGTGTAGTTGAATGGTTGTTTTTTGTGTCAGTTTATTGTTACCCATCTATTTGATCTGTTTTCGTCTGTAGACTTCAATTTTAATTCATATCTTTTAACGGCCGATTTCTCAAAATGAGTTTTTGCCTCTACTTCAGTAGCACTTACACCAAGCTTATTCCCATCTGTATTTTGAAGAATTTTACTGAGGGGCAGTGTTGGGGTAACACATTAGATGTAACACAAGTTATGTAATCAGATTACTTTTTTCAGGTAAATAGTAAATCATGCATTACTTTTAAATTTACAGTGACGTTTCAAATACGTAACGCATGCTTTCCCATTATTTAATGACACCTCTCCCATCCCTCTGTTGAGAGAAATAGGCACATAGGCACTTCCTTCCTTCTTTTGGTGTGAACAGTTGTAAAAATAAGTTATGGTTTATTTGTTATTAAAAAAACACATAAGAAAGCCCATCCAAAGTGACAGAAAGTAATGCAAAAGAAGCGTGATGCATTACTTTCCATAAAAGCAACTAATTAGTTACTTTTTAATGGAGTAATGCAATATCGTAATGCATTACTTTTAAAAGTAACTTCGTTCATATGTCATTCGCCTGGTTTTGTACAACATTTTATTCCTAAAAGCATTGTGAAAGTGAAGTTTTTTCTTGTTGCTGACAGTGTTTTCTGGGAAATGCATGCAAGTTGGTGCATGTTTAGATAGATAACATTTCATTTGCATATTTATACAACGTTTCAGAAAATTTTCTTTCTATTTTTAAAGCTATCAGTCAATGGAGGACGTATGGTGATATCTGTTAGTTTAGTTTTTATATAGTTTCAACCATTTTCGATGGCTCAAAATCCATATTTAGACAGCTTCAAAGTAATCCACATGACCCTAGTTTTTGTCTTTTTATTTTTTTTTGTTAAGAAATGCACACTGTTTTGTATTACAAGTTTTCTAAAATGTTAAGTTAAAACATGCCAGTCAGGCATTATCTAATTAAACATGCACCGATTTGCATGCGTTTCCTCAGAAGAAATCTGTAAGGCCAGGTTCAAAATTCTTGTTTCATTTTGCTGACAAATTACAGTCAAAAGGTTTTACAGAAGGGATTCTGGATTAAAGCAATAACCCCCAAGAAGCCATGGTTTACAGTGAATTTATAACAGCTAAGCGAAGTGCCTAAAACCCCCTTAGCTGTTATAAATTCACTGTAAACCATGGCTTCTTGGGGGTTATTGCTTTAATCCAGAATCCCTTCTGTAAAACCTTTTGACTGTAATTTGTCAGCAAAATGAAACAAGAATTTTGAACCTGGCCTTACAGATTTCTTCTGAGGAAACGCATGCAAATCGGTGCATGTTTAATTAGATAATGCCTGACTGGCATGTTTTAACTTAACATTTTAGAAAACTTGTAATACAAAACAGTGTGCATTAAAAAGTGGGAGTGTAGAGGGTGGGAAGAGGGGAGAAAACAACTAATAAATCACAGACCTACAACACACTCATTATACAGACAAATGAATATTAAAATATCTTTAAAACAGAGAATAAAAGCAGTCACTTTTTGTTTACTGTTCTTTGAAGTTTCGGTCTATATATCATTGTTTGCTGTGTATCACAATAATCCATCGCGTTCATGATCAGATGTACCGCTGTATCAGTGCCCTTATTCTCGCATATTTCATTTGAAAAAGAAATATGTGCGCGCATACAGTGCTGGTTCATATTTGGAGACTATAAAATATGAATTAAAGGCGGGGTAAGCGATTTTTCAAAAACACTTTAGAAAACCGATTCGGGCCGAATAGCAAAACAAACTTGTAGCCAATCAGCAGTAAGGGGCGTGTCTACTCATGATGTGGAGGAGAGAGAGTTCAGTGCACGGGACGGACATTAGCGAGCCGAGCAACAGAAAGATAGAGGTAGTGGATAAAAAACAAAAGAGGAAAACGTCTGCGGAACGATAAGGCAAGAAGTAGGACTTGTGTAAATAGGTGTGTGGGGTGGAGCTATCAAAATAGGGACGAGACACCTTTGGGGTAGGGGCGTGTTTGTTTTGGTGATTTCAAATGTCGACATTGGCTACCAGAAATCTCTTACCCCACCTTTAAACACGCTTGCTCCAGTCTGGATATGAACTAGGATCTGCACAGCGAGTGTTGTTAAACTCGTCACGGCGTTTAGTGCAGAAACTGCTCTCTCATGCGCGCGCCACGTGTTGTTACATATTAAATATTGTTACGGTCGTGTTTACAGAGATGAACTGACAGCGTGGAAGCTCGTTCTTCTGATTTGAGTTCTCCGCTGTAAGATGACCTCATGCATAATACAGTGCAGTGATTGGATCGTAAGAGTTCATTCTCATGAATAATACTGAGAAAAGCTCGGATAACTGATGACGTAGACGTGTACTCTCCAGCCACGGCAGCCAATCACCACTCCCGATTAACGCATATACGTCACTTTCCGTGACGTTGGTTCAACTTTGCTTTTTGAACCGGAAGAACTAAATTAGTACAAAAAATGATCAAATAACCACTTTTCTCTTAATAATAGACATAATGAGTGCTATTATTGTTTTCACTGATGAGCAACCTGTACATATATGTTATCATCTCAAAAAATGCGTTTTAGGGTTTCATGACACTTTAAATGTGTGCTTAATAAATTCAGAATACTGTTTTCAAACATTTTATAAATGACTTTGCAGAAATTGTTTGCGACCATGAGAATTTGCAGAAGTGGTTTTGTGAATTATTTTTTGCAGTTACACAAGTACATAATATAAAACTAGATTTCTGAATGATTAAATGGAATTTGTTTGCATTTACGACATTTACATTGGAGCTTATGTGAATTTATGATAAATTTATATGACTTTACATGATGATTTAAGTCATTATTTGTGAAACGTGAGCAGAACAAATTTGGGTGTAAATCATTTTGACTATTTGTTTTCAAAACAATTAGTTTTATGAATGACTAGCACAGAATTTTTTTGCAATTATGAGAATTTACACAAGAATGCTTTTCCGAATTATTTACATAGTCTTCACAATTGCACAAGTTTGTAGTATAAAAGGAGTTTTCTGAATGATTAAAAGGATTTTTTTCCTTCAATTGTGACATTTACATTGGAGATTAAGTGAATTTATTATAAATTTGTTTGCTGTTGCAACTGTGTACGTAATGATTTAGGCCTTTTTAGTAAAACGTGAGCAGAACAAATTTCTGTGTAAATCATTTGGAATACTGGAATAATTAATTTTACAAAATGACTTTTTCAGTTAAAAGAATGGTTTTGCGAATTATTAACTATTTTGTAGTATAAAACTACTGAGTGATTAAAATGAATTTGTTTCCATTTGCGATGGACAAAAATTAATAAATGTATCACTCATCGTTGCAGTAACAAATTTTAAATGTTAAAGAAAGTTTTATGAACGATTTACGATTTACACCTAAATTTGTTTACATTTGTGACAGTTTATGTAAAAATGTTTATAAGACCTGTTTTCACACAATACCGTTCAGCTCATGTCTGCTAAATGAGGCTAAATGTGTTTAATTTTTAGTTTAAGCTCCGTTTTAGTCACAAAGTAAAAAAAAAGTAATAAATGGCCTGATGTTTCCAGTGTAGGGATTATAGTTGTCTTTTGCGTGTCACTTCACCTAAATTTCACCTTCTTATCTTAATTTCACCAGCATTTACGCAATCAGTGATCACACTGATCGCAGAAATAGATATTTCCTCTTTAGTGCATCACTCACAAAACCCACATGATGGGAATAGATGATGTACATCCTGCCTTGAAGAAGTAAAAGCTCCTTTTCAGTCGTCATGTTGACGCAATGCGTCTTTCAGATTGTAACATGACATCAACACAGAAGTCTTGCTCAGTCTTTTTCCTTTATATAGTTGCGATATTCATTCCAGATAATGTAGCTCAGCAGGGTATGAGTTAATAGATTTCGTGCAACAAACCCTGCACATCTTAAACATTTTGGTAGCATGGTTACGTTACGAACAGCCATCTTGCAGAAACATGAAATGAAGTAAATTCCCTAATATCCATTCCTCTCCAGGCAGCAGAACGTCCACACCAGCTCCGGTAAAGCTGGAGGAGGCGAAGCCGTCTGTGGTTAAGATGGACGCTTTGAGCGATGATGAGGATGGTGATGGTACTGGAGCTCAAGGAGACATTCAGCCTGTGGGACACGATTATGTCGAAGAGGTGAGACCGTCCAGTCAAAATATTTCATTATTTGTCTTGAGTAAAACTTGATCAAAACGAGTGAATCTGTCTTTTTGTCAGTGAATCAGTCAAATTGATTCATGAATCATATTTATTAGCGGATCGGTCTGAGTCAAAAGGATTTCCTCTAGTACTGTAAATGTGTGTGACATTCAAGGATAATTGGATGTGTGTCATTCCTTTGAAGGGGTTTAAGTCTCAGATTCATTTTTTCACCTCAGGTTCGAAATGATGACGGAAAGGTGATTCGTTTTCACTGTAAACTGTGTGAATGCAGTTTCAATGATCCCAATGCTAAAGACATGCACCTGAAGGGACGGAGACACCGGCTGCAGTACAAGGTGAGATGTCACCCTGAAAAAAAACATCTTTGTATGTTTAAAAAAAAATATATATATATATATAAATATATTTGTGTATATTAGGGCTGTCAAAATGGCTGAAAAACTAAATTAAAATGTTTTACTTAAATATTATCAATATTCGAATTATAATCTAATTTAAAAGGCATAATTTCAGTTAGGGGGAAAAAAAGCTTTTGGCTTCTCTCCTGAGGCCACAAGAGGGCGCATCGAGCAAAATATTATGCACGTTTCTTCAAAGCATAATGTTTAAATGAATGTTTATAAACCTTATATAACTAATAAAGTTGCTTAATTAGAAACAAAACAGCATCATGCATGTATAATTTAATACAAAGGACCGAAAACCAATCACAAAGAGTACTTTCTTCATTTAAAAACTTGAGATGCAGTGGGATGGGGAAAACCGCCATAAAGTCTTGAGACATGTTTTTGAAAAGTTGAACTTGCATTAATTTTACAAGGCTTTCTAAACATGCGGCTCTCTTGTGCGAGACGCGAGTGCAACGGTGATAGATGTCCCTCTAGAAAATGCGATAAATATGCGTTCTTGCGATATTCATTCCAGATAATGTTGCTCAGCAGGGTATGAGTTAATAGATTTCGTGCAACAAACCCTGCACATCTTAAACATTTTGGTAGCATGGTTACGTTACGAACAGCCATCTTGCAGAAACATGAAATGAAGTAAATTCCCTAATATCCATTCCTCTCCAGGCAGCAGAACGTCCACACCAGCTCCGGTAAAGCTGGAGGAGGCGAAGCCGTCTGTGGTTAAGATGGACGCTTTGAGCGATGATGAGGATGGTGATGGTACTGGAGCTCAAGGAGACATTCAGCCTGTGGGACACGATTATGTCGAAGAGGTGAGACCGTCCAGTCAAAATATTTCATTATTTGTCTTGAGTAAAACTTGATCAAAACGAGTGAATCTGTCTTTTTGTCAGTGAATCAGTCAAATTGATTCATGAATCATATTTATTAGCGGATCGGTCTGAGTCAAAAGGATTTCCTCTAGTACTGTAAATGTGTGTGACATTCAAGGATAATTGGATGTGTGTCATTCCTTTGAGGGGTTTAAGTCTCAGATTCATTTTTTCACCTCAGGTTCGAAATGATGACGGAAAGGTGATTCGCTTTCACTGTAAACTGTGTGAATGCAGTTTCAATGATCCCAATGCTAAAGACATGCACCTGAAGGGACGGAGACACCGGCTGCAGTACAAGGTGAGATGTCACCCTGAAAAAAAACATCTTTGTATGTTTAAAAAAAAATATATATATATATATAAATATATTTGTGTATATTAGGGCTGTCAAAATGGCTGAAAAACTAAATTAAAATGTTTTACTTAAATATTATCAATATTCGAATTATAATCTAATTTAAAAGGCATAATTTCAGTTAGGGGGAAAAAAAGCTTTTGGCTTCTCTCCTGAGGCCACAAGAGGGCGCATCGAGCAAAATATTATGCACGTTTCTTCAAAGCATAATGTTTAAATGAATGTTTATAAACCTTATATAACTAATAAAGTTGCTTAATTAGAAACAAAACAGCATCATGCATGTATAATTTAATACAAAGGACCGAAAACCAATCACAAAGAGTACTTTCTTCATTTAAAAACTTGAGATGCAGTGGGATGGGGAAAACCGCCATAAAGTCTTGAGACATGTTTTTGAAAAGTTGAACTTGCATTAATTTTACAAGGCTTTCTAAACATGCGGCTCTCTTGTGCGAGACGCGAGTGCAACGGTGATAGATGTCCCTCTAGAAAATGCGATAAATATGCGTTCAGTGTGAATGGCTTGGTTTCGGTTTTGATGTAAACAACATCTTCCCTGCATTGATTATCTTTTTCTGCAATATTTTGAATGAACAACGTAGCAGCACCGCATCTAGTGGGTTCAACTGGATAGGCTAACAAAAGCATTAAAATGCAATGACATTTACATCGCCATCGCATTTCGTGCGCCACTGATAATACTGCCTGACGCACACCTAAAATTTGAATGCAACGTTTTTGCATTCGAATGTGAATTTTTATTTTAAATTCGACGAATATTCGAAATTCTAATTTTTTTGACAGCCCTAGTGTATATTAATTAGTATAAAATTCATTAAATAATTATTTATATAATAAACATGAGTTTGTAACATAAAAAAGTAAATTAAATACTTGCCCAGTGAAAATTGCTTCATGTAATTAGATTTTCTATTTTATTTAAAACTTAATGGACTCAAAGAAAAACGGAACAAAATAGTCAAATTAACAGTCAAAATAGACAGTCAAACTAACATGATAAAACACTAAATCCTGCAGGGCTGCAGTTATTGACCAATATTTTTTTATTGTTTTTCAGAAAAAAGTGAACCCAGACCTCCCAGTGGAGATCAAGCCCAGTAATCGAGCGCGGAAACTTCTGGAAGTCAAACTGCGAAAGCAGAAACAGAAATCTGTGCTGAAGAGACAACAAGAAGACGAGCAGCACTGGCACCTGGAAATGAGGTCTTCATCAGCATTCACACCATTTCTGTGACAAAGTTTTAATTATCTTTTCTAACGCTAAAACCTTGATTGCACATTTCACAAGGCCTTTTTTATAGTCAAATTTCTGTGTCGTCCAGCAGGAGGTATGAGGAAGACATGTACTGGAGGAGGATGGAGGATGAGCAGCTATACTGGGTGGAGATGAGGCACAGAATGGCCCCGCCCCCTCTCATGGGCCGGCCCAGCATCCCGGTGCCGCCCCTATTGGTAAATACACATTTCAGACGGACCAAAACTGTTGCAAGTTTTGATCAAATTTCCTAAACCCTAACCAAAATAAAAGTACAATATATTAACTCCCTAACCCAAAAACAGAGATCAAAAAGGTTACAATAAACAAAAACTTTCTCCCAACCCTCTATATTTACAATGATATACGAAATATTTACAATATTTACAGGCAAACAGACACACACACAGCCAAAACCCAACAACTCTCTCTCTCCCTCTACTCTGGGGAAAGGAAGTGACATCGGGGCTTTTAAGGTGTGCCTAGTTTCGAATGCACCAATCCAGATGGGCCAATCATTAGCCTGCAGGAGCCAATCAACATTGTACCTGGACACAAACACTTTCAAAACAAAAGAGAGACAGAAACGAGAGAATACAAAACAAAGGGTTGTAACAAAATGGTAACAATTCTCTTATTTATCTTTAGCCAGTGCGACGGCCCGATTCGCCAGACGACCGCCACATCATGGCCAAGCACTCGGCCATCTACCCCGTGGAGGAGGAGCTTCAGGCCGTCCAGCGAATCGTGTCGCATTCTGAGCGAGCTCTCAAACTGGTGTCTGATTCGCTGCTGGAGAAGGAGGCGTGTGCTGCGGACGACGACAACAACGACGTGACGGACAAACTGTGAGGACTCTTGCCAGCTAGCTTTGCGTTTATGCTATTGAATAGTAGTTGGAATTGTAAATTGACATGCTTCCTCTTGGACAGGTCGGAGTCTCAGGCTCGTGTTCTCAAAGGAGTCATGCGTGTGGGAATCCTGGCTAAAGGTCTCCTCCTGCGCGGCGACCGCAACGTCCAACTCATCCTGTTGGCGGCCAAGAAACCCACCACCTCTCTGTTGAGAACTGTTGCGGAGCAACTGCCCAAACAACTAGTGGTAAGCTTGTCTTTTTTTAGAGAGTTGCTATGCATGTATCAGATGTTTATGTTGAAGCTGCTGAAAACCATTATTGACTTATGACCTGTTTATGCTCACAACTTTCCCACTTGTGGTTTTATCACCATTTTTCACTTTGTTCTGGCTGCTACATGATGGAAACCGCCCACATAAGAAATCACATCGTCCCACGTGTTAAATTTATGTATAGCAACATGTAGCTGGTTGTGTGGTTAACATTTTGCAATTTCTTAAAGTAGGCCTAAAGCTTGGCTGTCATATGTGTGACTCTCATTAATAAATGTCCAGGTTGTCTTTCAAATTAAAATCAAAAAAAAAAAAAAAAGTTTTATATAATGTTTACATTTATTCAAAAATATTACAATTAAAATGTATTATATTTTGCATCAAGCAAGTGAAGAGCATTTTAAAGCCCATTAATATTTTTTTTATCTCTGACAATTAAACATTTCCTAAATTGTCATTACCACAATTCAGCAATAATTACTCATTATGGTAACATACAGAAAATCATAAAGAAAAATTGAATTCCATTTCAATTAAATTAAAAAAATTCTTTACCGTAACATGCAGAAAATTGTATATTAAAAATAGTTTTATCACAGTTTGACATATTTCATAAATTACTTTCATAGCAATGAAACATAATTCCTAAAATGCCATTACCGCAGCACAAAACCTCATTACTGAAACTTGTGGAAAATTATTCTTTTTATTTCAATTTAACATGTTGTCTAAATTGTCTTTACTATGATGCAGCAAAAACATTACCATGACACAGAAAATGCATTTTCAGGACAGAAAATGACAGAAAATTATAACATACAGAAAATAATAAAGAAAATTATTTTCAAGACCGTTAAACATATTTCCTAAAATGTCATTACTAAATTGTAGCACAAAACCTCATTACCGTAACATGCAGAAAATTATGGTTTTTATTACACTTTTAACATATTTTCATAATTGTATTTACTATAATGCAGCAAATAAATCATTACCGTAACACACAGATAATCATAAAGAAAATATTACTTTCATGTAAATTAAATGTATTTCCTAAAATGTCCTATAATGCAACAACAAAAAGTCATTACAGTAACATATATATATATATATATATATATATATATATATATATGGGTCAAAGACATTAAAGGTGATGTGTAAAATGTCACTAAATGTAAAATAAGTCTCTGATGTCTCTGAGTGTGTGTGAAGTTTTAGCTCAAAATACCTTACAGATAATTTTTTATTGCTTGTTAAAATTGCCACTTTTAGGGTATAAGCCAAAACGCGCCGTTTTCGTCTTTCCCTTTAAATGGAAATGAGCTGGTGCTCCCGGGGAAGTGGGCGGAGCTTCAAGAGCTCAAGCTCCGGCTATACCTAGCCTTTGCATATAAACACTCCACTATTAGTAGAAGCCTGTTATCTTTACAGAAAACACACTCGGTTTTAAAGTCAGTCATCTGATTGTACTGTGCATAAAAAATGCACTTTATGAATTACACAGACGGGAGCACGGCGCGATAAAAATAACTCATATAAAACTTTATAAGCCCCACTTGTGATTATGAGCTCGACTAATTCCAGCGGTCGACTTCACATTGCTTTCATATGCAATTTTAACTCCCACATTCCTATTTACGATCATTCTGCTAGCATGTGAAGGCAGCATCAGTGAAAACAGACAGACAATGGTAGCTTTAGCAACATTAGCCTTACAGAGCGCTAAGAAGCTCTTTCAGAAAGGCAATTTGGAAAACTAACGCTTGATACTTACTTCTTCTGGAGGTGTAGCTGGATCACGAACAGTTGGCACTGCTCCATCCTTCAGGAGCAACTTTTGTGCAAAACCTGCTTTATACTGACCCTCATTCACAAAGCAGTCCGGTGTAAAATGATTCGCGCAGACATAAACAAATTTCAGTAGAGTTGAACCATGCAAAAGTGAATTTTGCATAATAGGTCCCCTTTAAGATATCCGCATCAAAAGACATTTACAAAAGTGATTTTATGTCCATAGAAAGCACATTAAATGCAAGTAAAGTGTCTACTTTTAAGGTTTCAAATAAGTTTTTGGAGAATAAAATGTCAAAATTTGGTTGAAATAATGTTACGTTGTCATTCGGTGTAACGCAATATTTATGTAAAAATTCAGACAGCATGCTTATTCTGACTTGTACATATTAAAATATATAAAAGAATAAGGGAGCATATTAAATTTGATTGTGTTTTAAAGTGAAAACACAAACTTAAAGTGTTCAAGTAAAAAATTCTTACTTACAATTGGGCAAAACCTAGGATACTGGCAAATTTTAAAAATGTAAAATAACAACTAATTAGTATTTGGGGTGAAGGTAATTAGTCTTTTAAAATGTCATAAATTGATTTTTGTTGTAAATGTGCCTCATAAGATTGTTACACTGAATGACATTTTAGTGGGTCTCTTCTGTAAATCAGGGAAAAATGTATGATATTTATTTTTTGCTCAGAAAAACTAAAACAAAATTGCAATTAAATTAACCAATTTTTTTTTTTTAAATTGGGAAAAACAACAACAATTTAAAGCAGTATTTCACTTATTGTTTTTATGCTTAAACCCTTTTTCGTCTTTGACCCAT